ATCCATCCTCTGTGGTCGAGTGGCTGGCACACCAGTTTTCATGGTGTCGCCATCTCTGAGGTCCCGGGTCGATCCCTTGTCGGGTCAGTCTAGAAAACTAACTTTTCTATATTGCCTTTGGGCCTGGGTGTTCGTGGTACCGCCGTTGTTTCCAATTTCCATAACATAACTGCTTTAGCTTCCTACTTACTTTGGGATCAGAGCAACGTACGTTTATGTGATGTTCTCTAGTATTGTTCAGTCGGGTGAGAAGGAGCGGAATACCTTCTTACCTACCCTGTTTGTGTGTTTATTATTGGCAATATGATATGCAGCGGTGTATAGAAAAATCTTTAGTAGGTTTATGCGATGCCGTTTTTTGTATTTTTTACTAATTATAAGCTATGTACATATGTTATAAATGAACAATTTAAAAATATATATATAAGTGGACAAAAAATCCAAATGAATCCCCCAGGGGATCCATATGTACAAAAATCCACATAAATCACCCAGGGGATCGGAGCAGAGGATTCAAATGGACGAAGGTATAATTATAAAGTTACTCTATGTACCACATTCAGAGCACGTAATTTCTTTTGGAATATAGAGAAAACCTTATCGGATCTATCTGATTATTATTATAGTAAAGTCGAGGCGAAAATAAGGTACCTAAATACTAGACATCTATTAAAATAATGAGGAATTGAGTATTAGTTAGTAATGAAAAATGAACAACTTTCCCTAAAAATTGCTTTGTCAACGTTGGAGGTTCTTTCTTTCAGACAAGATTTTTCATTACAGTTCTAAAGCCTTTCCATTTCTTGTAATACATAGGTAAACCTGTATTTGTTAGTCAAAAGTGGAAGCTTTGAAGTTCGAATTGAGAGATCGCACCTTAGGTGGTATAGTATTTTAATATATTATTTACAAATTCCAGGATATGTTTTACAAAACGCTTTACAACTTGTACTAAATCATCCGGTTATTACAACTGGCAATAAAATCGAAAATGGCGGGTTTTAGTAATTACATTTTTTACACGAATTAATTTTTAGTTTATGCACCAATATTACGTTGCGCGTTTCTTGATTATTTGTTACCATTAAGCTGATGGCTCTGAAGCCAATGCTTTATAAATAAATAAATAATAATTACAACTGGCAAAAATTATGTGGTCCCTCAGTCCACATACACGTGTAAAAACGGCTCCAGCTGTCATTCTCACCATCCTTATTTGGCAGCTTGAAAGTCTCGTGACGATCTGGGAATAAACTTCAAAAAATCTATAGTTTTTACACAAATTAAATTTTGTTTAAAAGTATTGCTAGCATTGCTCTGTTATGTTACATAGCTTTATGTTTACATGACATTGAGAAGTGTGAACCAGTTTGGAAAATTTTGCCACTCATGCAGAAAAGCCCGACTTCATTTTCCAGCACGGATTTTACCATCGCTCCCTTGAGTCTTATTTAATCATCTGCAACATAACTAAATTTGTTTAAAACAAGTTGTCTTTAAGTTTTATTATAATGTAATAATAATATCCACAAGTTGAAAAAGATGCTCTTTACGAAGATGTATTAAATTTTTCAAATGGGAAATCGCCCCCTGGAACCTTGTGGTACATTAAATCCCTCACGTTAGAGCAGACCGATTCAGCAATGAGAAGTGCGAGATCAGTGGTTGAAAAATCTGCACCAGAATAACAATTGTCTCACTTTTCAGTTTTCACCAACAACCGCCAAATCACTAAACGCAAGTTGCCAAAATTCGAAAAATAAACAAACTTATTGGCTATCTTTATTTATGCCATGTTTATTTACATCTCATAATTCCGAATCCGAAACCGAATCCAGTTTCCAAATTACTGTCCATGATATTACAAAAGTTTCCCCGTTTTTAAAAACAAGTAGTCAAAACACTTTGAAAGTGGTTAAAACGCTTACCGCGAAGAGCCAAGAGAAATAAGAAAAAAAAGTAGCACTACTGAGGGTCGTATTACAGAACTTTACTCAATGCTCAAGTCAGGATCATGTGATAAAGAATATGATTTCAAGCGCTGGAAATACGACCCTAATGGCAGGGACTTGAGTATGATTTCGAGTGCTTTAAACCATACTCAAATCCTGACTTGAGCATTAAGTAGAGTTCTAAATTACGACCCTGAAAACCGTAAAAATAATAATTATTATTTATTTATTGAGCATTGATTGACTAGTATAGAGCCAGCTTATAGGTTACAAATAATTAAAAAACTCTTTGGGGAATTTATCGCTCCCCTAACGAACAATAAAACTGCCTCGTGAACCTCATAAATGGCGATATAGTTATAATTATTTCGTGGTTTTACAAAAACTTATAACAATCAAGGCGAACAATTTTCAATCGCTGACAAGACAATTTCGTAATTAAAAAACTATCGAATATTTTGGCACGTCTGACACTCTCCTTGGCGACTCTCATCCAAAGAGACTGCCACAGCCAGCCAGTGATAATAGGCGGCGTCCAAAGCCGCCACACCAACCATTTGAATAAAAACACTAAAATCTTTAAAACGCGAGGAGGTGGTTGGTTTGTCTGGGGGAATTAAAGACGGCAACTGCAGCGGGATTATAGCCGGGGGCTGCCCAGACAGTCGCATGGCAGGTGGGGATCGAAACCGTCGTGTCACGAGTGCGGCGCTGCGGATGACACCGCGCAGCACACCCTAGAGGTATGCAACCGGTGGGATGAGCAGCGCCGTACCCTGACAGGGACAATAGGGCAGGCCGAGCGTGGTTGCCGCCATGCTCGGTAGCGAGGGGTCTTGGGAGGCGGTGGCCTCCTTTTGCGGAGAGGTTATGTCGCAAAAGGAGGCTTCGGAGCGGGTGCTCGAGGACGCGGCGGACGCGCACTCGCTTCGGCGCAGACGTATGGGGAGAAGGCGAAGGCAGTTCGCTGTTCGCCTGATCCCCTAGTGAGGCCAGCGGGCTCTGGACAGGGACTCCGGAGCCTGTATTGCACGGCCTCACTCGTCTTGGGGGCGGGTCGGAGGACAACTGACCTGCCCCTCCGTTGGCGCGGGAGCCCTGGCGCAAGCTAAGGCGGCCGGGAGGCGTCGTGGTGAATGTGCACCGACCCCACGGCGCCGACTCAACCGGCGGGAAGTAAACCCGGGGGGGTTTTAGTGGGGTAGGCCCTCCAGTCTGGAGGGAGAGTCCCCACATAACCCCTGAGTTTCCCTGGGCTCAGGGGTATCTATAAAGATTTCCCCCCGTAAAAAAAAAGGTGGGGATGCGGGGAAGACATCGGTGACATCAGCATCAATGTGCGCAGGTTTCACACGATCGAAGTTGACGGTGACCGTCCTTCCGCCGATGTCTAGCGAAATTGTCTTGTTCCTTCTATCGAGGACGCGGTGAGGTCCAGACTACGGTGGTTGCAGCGATCTTTGAGACGTGTCATCCCGAAGAAATACGTAAGTGGCCATCGCTAAATCCTTAAATATAAAAGAGGAAGGCCTGTCGTGGTGAGATGCAGGAACCGGCCGGTGCATCAGATCAGTTGGTTTATTAAAACAGACGTTTCTGCGGGGATGATTAGATTAGGAGGAGCAACAATGAACTCGCCAGGAAGGCGTAGGGTCTCGCCGATGTCCTCCTTAAAAGCATACCGAGGAGCACCAGAGGCAACGCTCTCGTCCACGTATCAGCGTGGCACATGAGAGCTGACGATGGAGGCATTCCACCATGCCATTGGCGTAATGATGGTAACTGGTGGTGCGGACCCTTTTTGCTCCGCAGAAATTCATGAGTCGCCGAAATAGCGCCGAATCAAATTGACGCCCCTGATCGGTGGTGACGATGCTAGGAACACCGAAACGAGCAATCCATCCTGACACTAATTTGTCGGAAACTTCTTCTGCAGATAGCGTCGCCATCGGCCAAGCCTCCGGCCATCGTGTGTGGCGGTCTATGGCGTTCAAGGAATAACTGAAACAGTTAGAACAAGGAAGTGGGCCGATGATCTCGATGTGCAGATGACGGAATCGACTGGTAGGTTGATCAAACCGACCAACAGGTGATTTAACATGCCGCGATACCTTGCTTCTCTGGCACTGAACGCAACAACGTGCCCACTCGCGACAATCTTTGTTGATGCTAGGCCATACGTAACGACTTGCTACCAACCGCAAAGATGCGCGTGCACCAGGGTGGCTGAGGTTATGGCAACGGTCGAAAGCCGCTCGACGGAACGGCGAAGTGAGGTAAAGTCGAGGACGACTAGTTGAGGTATCACATATTAGAGTGATGTTGGTGCCCGGCATTAAAACCTATTCCAATTTCAAAGCCGATCCTTCTTCCATTTTCGCCAACTCTATATCAGATATTTGAGCTGAGCTAGTGCGGCGAAATCGTCTTCGAGTGAAATCGCCTCGATGCGAGATAAAGTGTCCGCGACGACGTTGTCTTCACCCTTGACTATTTTTTTTCCATCCTCTAAGGGGACATAAACCATGATATTGTCGTGATTGTCATTATAAGATGGAAATTATTATCATTATTTATTTATTTATAAAGCATTGGCTTCAGAGCTTCATGCTAACAATCAGCTTAATGGTAACAAATAATCAAGAAACGCATTCAGAGCTTCATGTTATGGTTATAGTTAGTTCCATAGTCCAAGATAAATTCCTTGTTTCATGCGATAAAAAAGATTAGAAACATTTTAAAGATTTGGTCTAAATTTTACCTTATATATGTTATGTTTACCCTTCCTGAACATTTATTAAATTCCTAAGCTGATGACTTTCTATATAATTAATAATGAAATAAAAAATACTCCAAGCTTTTTATTGTTGTTTCATTCTTATAAGTCATTTATTTAAATATTAATATCCGAAAAAAGCGCGATATCGACGGCGACGTGACGTCATCGCATTGCGTGCGTCGCCATTTTGTGCTTTGCTTTTTACAGTGACTTGTGCGCTGTTCATTTTGCAGAATTTGTGAATAAATTGTGATAAAACTACTGAAATCTGTGATATTTGGTAGTTTATTTTTAGCATTTCATTACTTTTACTTACTAATTACTTGTTTTTTAAGTTTTCTGTACTGTACCGTTGCAATGGGCAGGAAGAAGAAGAAGGCATCGAAACCATGGTGCTGGTATCCTTTGTAATATACCTACTTTTTACATACATAATTTGATTAGGAATAAAATTAGAATAGTTGGCCTTCGAAACTGGGTCATGTATAAAGTAAACACGTAAAATGTTGTGTGTTCACGAGCGTTATCGATACTTTCCTTAGCGCACACTTCAGGTACTGCAACAGGGAGTTCGACGACGAGAAGATTCTCATCCAACATCAAAAGGCGAAGCATTTCAAATGTCACATCTGTCACAAGAAGCTTTACACGGGACCTGGCTTGTCAATACACTGCATGCAGGTATGCTACCGCAGCCCTACAGAGTTGGCGCATTGCCAACCCACCCACGGCCAATGCGTGTATACTTTTTTAACTCTAGTAGATATTTTGGCGGGTCTTACGTGCCGAATTCCCCTCCCATTATAGTACTACGTAAATTTTTGCAATTATAATCTTGTTTGCGCTTGTGACTAGCTTAAATATAAATTTACGCGTTTTCTTACAGGTCCACAAAGAAGCCATAGACAAAGTACCAAATTCTCTACCAAATAGGTCAAATATTGAAATAGAAATCTATGGTATGGAAGGTATACCGCCAGAAGATGTGAGGGAGCATGAGAAGCAGAAAACAGGTATACAAACTTTTCATTTTGGTCTTCGTGACTTGATATTTGGATCCGTATGTACAATTTTTCTTTTTATGCTCAGGTCACTGTAGTCCTAGGTGTAAATGGGTGTGTAGTTTGAGTTAGTGTTTCACTGTAGGCAGCACTTGTTGGGTGAACTTTTATTATGTGATCTTCATTGTCTAGGTGGAGGGAAGGGTTCAGATAGTGATGATGATGAACCTGCGGCAAAGAAAAAACCAACTCCAGCTCTGGTAAGAATGATTCTTTTCTTGTATGATGTCTACAATGATCCAAATACCTTAATTCAATCTGAAAACCACACAATTTCAGACTACCTAGTTGTAACTGGTGTCATTGAATTACAGGAGAAAAAAAATGATTCAGTAAGTCAAATATTTAGTGAAACTATAATTTTGCATATTATATTTCTGTAATTGTACCCACTAAAACCAAATTATAACTATTATATTATCACATTTAAAAAAAAATCAACTAGTTCATTCATGATCATCATTAATTTTATACATATTATGAAATACACTTATAGTAAAGCTAAGTGTCCAGACTTAGCAAATGTAAACTAATTTCTTCTTAATACCTATTTACTCATAACCAGGAGTCTGTACCAATGTTGCCAGACATTCTGATATTTTTCAGGCTGAAGTTTTATTCTCCGTATATGACATCTAAAATCATGCCTTTTAATTGAATATTTTTGTTTTATATCCCAGTCTTTCATTCAATAAAATCTGCTTTTTTTATTTTTTCTTAATTCATAATCACTGGTCAAATAATCTGGCAACGCTGGTCTGCACCTACTTTAACTGATTTTGCAATAACAAAAAAGATCTCAATGATAATATTTTATCTTAAAGCTTGGCCCCGGCCCATCATCAGTGTCCCCGGGTATCCTACCCACTCCGATGGGACCAGTACCTCCAGGGATGTACCCCGGACCCATGCCTATGAATCACATGATGCCTCCGTTTATGCAACATAGGTATGAATTTGACAATATTTCTTCAACTAATCAATTTACACAATGATTCTGCCAATGTCAGGGTTGAAAAGAACACTTTTACGTTGGTGGAGTATGTACAGTTAGATAGCCGGAGATCAATTGAGTACGATGAGAATCTAAAAAGGGACAACACAAAAACACAATTAAACATTCACATCACATGCATAAATAGAAAGGGGGATGGGTTTATAAATATATAATATTGTACTGTAACTACATTTTTGACAGAAAATAGTTTTTAATAGATAAGGTAATTATAATTTAATATTGTTGATTTTGATAAATTTGGACAGGGTATTATATTACAAAAGGACTATGAACTTGGATCAAAAGAAATGGTAGTTTATGGGACGGGGCATATTTTCAGGGATCAGGTCGTACAGGTGGACTCTTATGTTTGTACAGTGGAAACAAGTGGAAAAATATATGATGTAAAGTGCTCTCCTCCAGTTCGCATTCACAACTGGAATTGTCTCTCACCCTAACCTTGGCCAAAAAATCTGGTGAATATGTGTCCTCGGCGCAGTCGAATAATTATATACATTACCAATTTACTTAGGTTCCTACGCTAACCAACTAACCAAGGACGACGAGGTATGTTCGTTTGAAGATCTCCATATTGTTTGCCTTTAGATAAGCGGCTCTTCTGCCAGAGATTGTCCCAAGTCTTAAACATTTGGGGTTTGGCTGAAATACGGAGGTCCCGTGTATAGCATTGATAATGTGTGATATTTCCGAGCCGGGTGGCTTCCTTGGCACACAAGTCAGCTGTTTCATTCCCCAGAATACTACAGTGGCCTGGAATCCATGCCAGAATGACTTCAATGCCCGCTAGTTTGCATCTATATAGAGCATCTTTGATTTTTAGACTCAAAATAAAATTATCTTTACCATGGAAGGGAAGTTTCCGAATATCTTGTAGACTTTTGTTTACATTGTTTTGTTTAGGTGGTGAGATTCGGCGTACAGGACTGCTTCCAAGATTACGATCGCTTCACCCGTAAATACTGAGGCCTGGGGGGGAGATTTAAAATTGAGGATTATTTTATACTTGGTGATCCACACTGCAGATCCGACATCTGCTAATTTAGAAGCGTCATTATATAGACAAAGCCAGTTTTCTAACCCTTCTTAATTATGTTTTCTAATTTTGAGCTTGCATTTGTAGAGTTTTTATCAATGCCGATATTGAGAAGAATAGTAGGTTGGTATATTAAGGAGTCAAATCATCATAATCAAATTCAAAAATTGGGTTTTTGTTATATTATACTCGTAAGTTTTCGGTATTTGAAAATTTATTTAGGCTATTCACTAAAAGAGGGGGGTCCTTATGAGACCAATAATTAGAGGTTGGGATTAACTGGTTGAGCGATCGGAGCTTTTCAAGTAATGGATGAGAGGATATTTGTAGAACCTTGCATAGGAACCTGTCACACAGATATAGTCTTTGGAGATAGAGAGGCGACTCTGAGCACTCTGCCTATAGCGCGTTAATGGGGGAGGATTTCATAGCGCCAGTTATGAGCCGCAGACATTTGGATTGGATTTTGTCCAGTTTGCAGAGGGCTATTTTGTGGCAGGGATCTAGGAGGAATCCTATGAAAGGGCTATGGCGTTATATAGCATTGTTTGGCTGTAGGGGTGGGATCCCCAGCGTACACTAGAAAGTGCCTGCATCGCATTAATACCGGATTCCACTTTTCTGCATATATAGTTAAGATGATGCACACCTGTCATTTTAGAGTCAAGGATGAGACCGAGAAATTTGACTTGGTCCTGAACATCAATCGGTTGACCATTTACGGATAAAGTGACTTCAGGAATACTTCGCTTCCTAGTAAAAACAACAGCGTTACACTTAGCCACTAAGAGAGATAGTCCGTGATCTGTGAACCAGTTATTGAAATAGAAGAGGGCTGAATTGAGTCAGTTAGTCGCGTCTAACACCGATGCCGAAAACGCGTATAAGGCGATATCATCTGCGTATTGCAGAATATTGCAAAAGCAGTCTACCGTTCTGTCGAGGTAGAGGGTGTATACGCTATATAACAAGGGACTCAAGACAGATCCCTGAGGTAAACCTTTCCAGACCAGTCTTGGGGGTAGATAATTGCCTTGGACATGCAGAATTATGGAGCGCTCCATAAACACACCGCAAACGATGTTAACCAACCTCACAGGGATACTCAGCTGAAGCATTTTCTGCCTGAGAATTTGAAGTTGTACATTGTCATATGCAGAAGTTATGTCCAGGAATACTCCAACTCCGTGATGGTTTTTAGAAAAAGCCGACTGGATATCAGTGGTAAGAACACTAAGACTATCTAAGGTGCCTATTCCTCGTCTAAAATCATTTTGGGATTTAGAAAGCAGTCCCCTGCTCTCTAGTATTCACTCTAATCGGTTCTTGACAAGATGTTCCATGATTTTGGCCAAAATAGGTCGATAGGATGTTGCCAGGTTTGAGAATTGGGACTATTATTTGTGTTTTCCAACTTTGCGGTACTCTACAGGTCTCAAAGAAATTATTGATTAAATTTAGAAAAAATGTTTTAGATCCAGTTGAAGATGTAGTAATAAAAGAGTAGGGAATACCGTCAACACCTGGTGAGAAGTCCTTTAGATTGTCCAATGCACAGTTTAACTTAGCAAATGTGAATATGTCCTCCATTCTATCCGGTAAGCTTCTCGACACAGGGAATGTGGGAAGACAATCCTCATATGGTACAAAGGCGGGGGCCAGTATGCCAGCGAATTCGGTGAGCAAAGAATCGGCAATGTTAAGAGTAGGATTATTAGTGGATGATATTGATCTTCTGAAACATTTGACCTTTTTCCATACTAGTGATGTGGGGGAACGTGGCGAAAGAGACACACTCTCGAATCTCTGCCATCCCAAGGCTTTCTTTTTGGCGAGCAATCTTTTAATACGTGCTGATATTTTTTGGAAGGTTATATAGTTGTCCATATTGAGATTAGCAGAATAGATATTCTCGACTAGATTTCGCTCATGAACACTGGCGGCAGTGCATTCCGCAACCCATCATGGAGGAGAAGAAAGCTTACCATTAGCTGAATTTTTAATGGGGATAGATTTATCTGCTGCTGTAGAAAGGGCGCTTACGGATTTATCATATAGATCCAAGAAGTTATCAGAATTAATATCTGGCAAATTTGATAATTCTTCATTGAGACCAGAGGAGAACTTGTCCCAGTCAGCTTTCTCAGCTTGAGGGAGGGGCGAATGATGGAAAACTGTTACAATTGGGAAGTGATCACTACCATATGAGTTAGGGAGCACTTTTCAATTGGGAAGAGGGGCCATTGAGGGCGAAGCCAGAGTTGGATCAACGGCACTAGGGTTTTGGATAGGTGCGACTCTGCAAGTGGCTGAACCATCATTTAAGACGCAGACGTTAATATCATCCAGGAAATCTAACAAGATTGGGAATAAGGAGTCACAACAATGAGAGCCCCACATGGTATGTTTACAGTTAAAATCTCCTAGAATGGTGAGAGGGCCATTATTTGGAGAAAGGAGGGTTATCAATTCTATCTATTATCAATTCTAAGGATGAATGTGGGATATAAACGGATATGAACGAAATATTCATTGCTCTGGCAGTGACTACATGCAGTCCATGGCTATGTGGAGAGATTGGAATCTCATTGTAGGAGATAGGTCTACTGATGAATAAAGCACAGCCAGCCCATCCATCATCCCTGTCATCCCGGAGACATGAGAAGCCAGGTAACCTAAAATAGCGCCGCGGCCGAAGCCATGTTTCCTAGATGGCAAGAACAGGGGAGTGTCTATTGATTAAATGTAAAATTTCATGTTTTTTGTTTTTCATGTTTCTACAATTCCATTGGAGGAAACTGGGGTCCATTATAAGGTTTATTTTTAAACATGGTTATCAACTGATTGAGCAGGGTCAAAACATAAGGAGGAACAATATCAGAGAATTTTTGTAGGATGTTTACTAGAGTAGCAGTGAGTAGTTCAGCCTAGTTATCATTAGGTGACGGAGAGTCGGGTTCTTCAGGCCTATTTAAGACGTTAGCATTCGGGAGTGAGTATGCCGGAGTCACAGTCAGACTGGTGGGCCTGGACGTCATAGGAGGGGCTCAATTCTGGTCTTAACTGGCGAGCTACATTGGCAGTCTTTCTGTAAGAAGTCTGAGATGTACGTGAGGACGATAAATTTTTTAGACAACCACACTTGATGTCGGGGTCCATTCATTTACACCATCAGTAGTAACTTTTCTTGATAGGCTCTGATAACTGAACCGCATTTATTGGGAGATTTCAGGGAGGACACAAATTCTGCCATTGACCAGTCTTTAGGGACATGACGAACTATTCCCATACGTGATACCTAGTATCTTGGAATGTTAGCAGTAAGTTTATTCTTATTTAGGAACTCACTGTCTATAAACAGGTTTGCTTCTTCTGCAGTCTTGAATTCTACGCACACTTTATTCCTGCCTAATGATCTAATCCCACCTTGGACAATGCCGGGAATTTGATTTTTGTGGAGTAATTGAGCTACTTTAAGGGCACTAACTGTACTGCCAGGAGAGTGGATATCCTCGATTTTCGATACCTGAACTGAGAATGGCAATGACAATGCAAAGGCTGAGAACTTGATTTTAGAGTCTTTTTCGTAACCAGGAACAGTGAAAATTATTTTGGATGCTGGGGGCAGACGGAGATGATCCTGTTTTTGCTTTGACGCTATTTACGTCGGTAAGTGCAGGGCGCTTTTGAGCAGATTTTGGGAGTTTGAAGCTGCGAAAATAGAGCCTGTGATAGTGCAAAATCACCACTTGCATTGACATCATTGAGGTTACCTCCCCTGTCAGGGGGGTCATCTGCGTTTGCCTCCATCAAGGAAAGCAAATTAAGATACTTACCAGATCAAATGTTATTCGTTATCTTTCACCAAAACAAAAATACAGTACAATATTTAGAATCTCAATCGTAAATAAGTAAAAACACTCAAGTTAGTATAAAACACGTGTTAGACAACACACCAATGAGCAGAATCTGCTTTAAAGTTGCAGTCTAATCTATACAATAATAATATTTAAGACCTACCTCCATTAATTGTATATATTAATTAGCCACATTTAACTTGTAGTTAGTATCTTATCCTTTGACGATCTGACTCATTGGATGAAGTGGTCCCAGATTCCACTCTCAGTGGGACCAATTTGGGAATATAACTTTTCTAAATTGCTTTTGGTCTGGATGTTCCGGTAAGTGTCCAGAGTGAATTCTGTTGCTTAGATATTCACAGTCCAGGGAATTTCCTAGTAGTGGAACCAGGCAATTGGTGTAGTTGTCAGGCACATTCAACAACAGTGAAAGAAATTACAATATTTTTTATTTTACTTTATTTGTTCATTTATTTTAAATGAAAAATATTTTTTAAATGTTTTCACAAAGAAACAAGCATCAAGTCCTTTAATTTTGGTGTAGAACATTTTTCAAGACTCCGTTAAAAAAATATATAAAGACATGCCTACCAAACCTACATTATGTATTACACACTATTTTTGTGTATTTAGCTTTCAAACCCTATCATGGCCTTGAGCCTGGCCATAATGTATTATAACAAATAGACAGTTTTCTTCACATTATCACTTATGGGAATATGGTAGGCGAAGATTATATGATACAATGTCTATTTCTACTATCCTAGTACCTCCCAGAAACTTGTGGAGTTTCCACGGGAGTTTGAGAGTTTCATGCTAGAGAGTAATACTGCCCCGTATGCTCTCCCTTTGGTCTATCACACTCCAGTACCCCAGCAAAACATATGCAGGGTATTTCTTCTTTCTCCATACAGCCTCTACTTAGGGGACTGTTGGTGACACTAAGTGTGCAACCACAAGAGCTGAATTCCAGAACACAATTGGCCAATTGGGCAAGTGACTGCATCAGGTATGGTGTAATTGGTATATGCAACTCAACATCACGGTGCCCAATTCATTTGACTGCATCATAATTACCAGCTGTAAGTGTCCAATCACTTCAGTTACATATAACTACGAACTGCTTAAGCAGGTGCAAGCGGAACTGCTTTTAGCCATTATCATTTGCGACTACATCCAAACTGCGTTTCAAACATGCCATTTTGCATTTTCAATGCAGTTTCTTGAATAGCTGTATTCAAAGTACATCCTAAATCGTATTATTGTTCTGTAACTTCCCTGAAGCATTTAAGCTCGCAATTGTCCATCCTGTCTTCAAGAGTGGGGATAAAAGTCATATAAATAATTACCGCCCTATCTCTATTCTACCCACCTTATCTAAAATCCTCGAGAGGCTACTCAATAACAGGCTGGTTAATTTTCTTGAAAGGAATCAACTGCTATCTACCTCACAATACGGTTTCGGTTTCCGGCCTGGAATCTCCACTAATAATGCTGTATTAGATCTTACTAATACAATTTCTAAACTTGATGATAAGCAGAAGGTGATTGCTGTCTTCCTCGACCTCGCCAGGGCTTTCGACACTATCTCGATTCCTTTACTCATCAAAAAACTTGAAAGGCTTGGTATTCGAGGTCTACAGCTGGATCTTCTTACTAGTTATCTCACAGGTAGACGGCAGTATGTGAGGATTGGGGATTGGACCAGCACTGAACTACCGATCACGTTCGGCGTGCCCCAGGGAAGTATAATCGGCCCCACCCTGTTCCTAGCCTATATCAACGACCTCTGTAATATGCAGCTAAACAACAGTTCCATCTTCACGTATGCCGACGACACTGCCTTAATCTTCTATGGCGATTCCTGGGAGTCCGCATTTGACTTTGCGCAAGAGGGTTTCAATTCTGTTTCCAAATGGCTTTCTCACAACCTCCTCACCCTCAACGTGGAAAAAACCATGTATCTCACGTTTTCTCTTACAAGTCGTGGTATACCATCCTCCTCTGCATTCTCGATAACTGCACACTCGTGTCCATCCTTTTCACATGATTCCTGCTCCTGTCCGTCTTTAGTCCGTACACACTGTTTGAAGTATCTGGGTGTCCAGCTGGATAGCACACTTTCCTTTCGCTATCATATTGACGGTCTGACCCAGAGGTTACGTAAATTGATTTTCATTTTTAAACGTCTTCGCCACGTCGCAGATGTGAAAGTTGTAAGACTTGTGTATTTAGCCCTCTGCCAATCACTCACGTCCTACTGCATCTCTGCATGGGGTGGCTCCGCCAAGTCGCATCTTCTTAAGCTGGAACGCACCCAACGCGCGATACTCAAGGTAGGCTGGTGTCTCCCCTACAGATTCCCGACCACTGACCTTTATAAAACCTGTAAGGTCCTCTCAGTACGACAGCTTTTTGTTCTACAAATAGCTTTGACCACGCACACTCTTATCCCCTATGACCCTAATAAACTGTACTCCGTACGTCATAAACATACTGTTTGTCCCTCAGTTAGTGTTTCCACTAGCTTAGCTCAACGTCATTTTTATTTTCTAGGAGGATATGTATATAATAAATTAAACAAAATCCTTAATATTCACCCATTGTGCAGAGCGGAATGTAAAAAGTTATTACTTATTGGCTGACCACTCTCGACTACGAGTCGACTGAAAACATACTTACTTTACTGAAATAGGTAGCATTCACACACACACTTACACACACACACACACACACACACACATGTACGCACGCACGCACTCACGCACACACCCGCATACACACATACACACACACACCCACATACGCACACACGCACACACACACATTTTTGCACTAGACAGCCCATTTATTTTGTAATTTATTTGTATTTTTTGTATTAAGTTTATGTCACGTTTTCTTACACTAAGAGGGAGTGAGCCTGGTGATCTGTAACACAGGTTCCCAACCTAGTACAGACTCCAGCTCTCACTAAGGCACTTGATATTTGTTATTTTTATTTTTTGTAATTAATAATTGTATTTTTAATGTATACATACACTGTAACTACAACCTTAATGAGAGAAAATAAAGCATATTGTATTGTATTGTATTGTATTGTCAATTTATTGGCCTTGGTTCTTGTTTACATAGTAGTATGTACATCAACTAAGTCGTATTCACTATAGTAATGGCAGTGATCACAAGAAAAAACATTCCCGTGCTACCTGTGTGTTTTTTATTTACATAAAATTTACATTGTTCTAGAATGATGATGCAAGGAATGCGACCCCTGTTTCCAGCAACAAGTGTCCCGACGTCTACACCTAGCAAACCTACCTTCCCTGCTTACAGGTAATTATTCTTACATGTTGATATTTGTATAGTTCATATACTACCATCACCTACTTTGATAGACTGTACATGTTACCGAAAACAATTTATAATTAATTCTTACTTTCATTTTTTTTTCTTGTCGTTTTGGAACGTATTTATACTATCTGGAACAATTGGTTATATTATGATTATTTATGTATATGTAAGCTGTTGCAATCTCACTTTGAAAATTGTACATTGTGTTGAAAACAAACAATAAACGTGAAATACGTAATCTTAAGCGATACTGTTTACTTCAGTATGTCATGTAATAAGCCTGCGTAGGACTGTTCTAAACAAGTTTATTTTTGAATTGTCATGTCAATAATTATTTGTTATGTATTATATAAGCTAATTGTGTCTACATATCGATGGCTTTCTAGGATAGTGGCCTAATCTCAAAATTAACAAATTTCTTAGGAAGAGGGTTTCGAAACAATTGACGCACATGTAACGTCCAAAGCCGAATCATAAACCGGTCCATGTTCTCACTTGTTTATTGTGCCCAATTAAAAGCTAAGTGTTTTTTCTTACAACAAAATTTTAGCACATTCTGAATGCAGCTGTATCGTAAGACAAATATGGACTATTTTGGTTTCAGCCACTATTCTTGATTAGCAGCGATATTTCTACACACCTACAATATTTATTCTGTGCAGTTGGCACCTGGTCTTTCTTAATGTACTTCTTTAATGTCATTATTTGTATGTAGAAATAAAAAGAAAATTTCTTAATTTTTTTTGCTACTCACGTATAATCTTTGAGCCAAGGACACTGTTTTTTTTTTCAAACGAAAGCTGAGTTGGAGATGAAATGAAACATTTTTGAAAACAAAGTAACAAGTAGTGTAGAATGATGTCCGACCAGAATTAAAATTGTAACTTTCTGCATTGCTGCTACAAATATTGCTTTCAAATTTATAAGAATTATATGTAAGGAACTGCAAGGATATTACAGATAAAAAAACGCAATTTACTGTAGTAAAAATAGTGGAACAACCGATATGGAACAGCGTCTCTCCAACAGCCTCCACTAATTTCTCCACCCGTTTTGATATTGATGGCGTCAGTACAGTTGTATATTTTCCGTCAGTCCAGACAACATCAAGCTGACGACATCTATCTGCTGAACATAGGCCACCAAAGATTGCCGCAACAATCTATTTGGCTACAAGTCCTTGAACGCCCTGATGAATCCTACTACCCCCAACAAACCACTACAATACGACAAAATTAGTAAGAGTTAGGGACAATGTACAATTATCCTCCTGTGGTATTTAAATCTGAGAGTTGGTCTGTGTACAGAGTCCAACACAGGTTGCAATAGTCTTAAGTTCACCTTTTGACGTCCAGTTTTTTCACTATACTAATAGTTCTAATGTAAATAACGCACTCCAAACTCTTCCATGACTGCGATGGGCGCTTAAGTGCCATAATATAATAAGACCAGGGTGGTAACTCTATACAAACGTAGCAGCGCGGCTTGTATGTGTGCGCCGTGTACGGATACACACATTCGCATAATCTCGGAATGCACTTGCGTTACATAGCGCTGGGGGTCTACTAACGTTCTTCGTACGAAACAATAGAGCGTGAAACAAACTGACAGCGGGTGCGAGTTGGGAGCACGGCGAGTGACCCATCCTGCATCCGCGCGTGGTGTGTATCGTCCATGGTGTTATTGTATACGGAATTACAACCGGATTTCTCCCGACACGCGTCCAACGCGCTCCCGTTTTCTGTGTCTTTATTGTCGAATGAGTCGACCATATCAAAAGACAATGTCAAGTATGAAGCTTCATTCGCATCATCGTCTTTTATTTTGGGCGATCCTTACTTATTTGACAGTAATTGTTTGGGACGGAGAACGGAAGTGGACGCTCTGGCCATCCCACGCACATTTCATTATTATGCGAATATGTGGGTCCGTACACGGCTCGCGGCGGGCGTGCACACATACCAACCGCGCTGCTACTATTGTATGGATTCACCATACTTGTCTTATCTCATTCTTGTCTTGCAATTGCTTTGAAAGGGGATAATTCCACTCATTAACACGGAACATTCCTATGGAGCCCCTCTGAAATCGCGAAATAATATCAGTTATTCCATATTACATTTTCTTGCCCACTCGACCGATAAATCAACGATAAATGGAACTGCTGATGCTTTTTTAATCTAAAAATTATTTGCTTATTTGTGTGTATGTCTATTTATTCTGTCTTGTCTATATGTATTTAACCATTTCAATCATTAATTTGTATTAAATTGCATCCCTTCTCAGATGTAAATACCCCTCCGCCCTGCATAATATAGAACCCTCTTTATCCATTATTTTCTGTCTTCCTCCACAGTAGTGCAACAATAAGTGCACCACCCACGACATCATCAGGGATCGTCAGTTCAGACCCTAAAGAAAATGGTGATGTCAAACCTCCAATTGCAAATTCGTGTCCATTGGTGACGGCAACAGGGGCCGGGTCCAAAATCATCCATCCCCCTGAAGACGTCTCATTAGAAGAGATCAAAGCGAGAAACGCGAAGTACAGGCCTAAGCCGAAACCAGAGGCGCCGGCGCAACCCCCCACGCCGACTATGATCGCACCAAGCACAAGTCAAGCTGAGGTTAGTTGATTTTCCTATATTATTTTGTAGTTGTAGATTTGATCGTGTTTTTGGCAAAAGTTTTGATTTTTGTGTGTCATGCATACAGTTCCACTGGAGCAGTTTACAGACCAAGTAGTGTGTGGTATGACTTGGTATCTAAAGTGGTTGTTCAAAGTTTTTATTACCTGCAGTAATAGCTCATTTGAAGTCTTTCAAACGGTACTATTTTCTAAAGTTTAAGCTTCAGAGTTAATTGAATGGAAGTTGGCGATTGCATTGTTAACTTACATATCGTAGGACATAGTGCAAATCCGCGTATCTAGTATTGGTAAAAGGCGCCACTAAATTACCGAAGTGGAAACTCATAATCAATGTTACGCGTTACGCTAGTTACGCATAATATTGATTATGCTAGTTACGCGTAATTGCACTATCGGGGATATGAACAAGAATGTGTAGTAATGAAGAGATTGGAATAGCCAGAGTACATTTCATGGTTAGTCACCCTGAGACATAAGTTGAAAGTCCCATGTGCCTGTAATTTCACCAGCTCCCTTCAAAATCTGAACGCATTATTGCTATATTATTTCACAAAAAAATAAAACAAATCAATAATACATATAAAAAGCGACATCAACATCAGCTCGTGGTAACTGGAAAGTTACCGGCTGAGTGAGAAGGTTCATAAAATCTCTCACAGATGTCGCTACGCTGCCGAAAGCCGAAAACCCAATACAAAGATTTATAACAGACGCATTGAAGAAATTATTCAACTTAGTAAACGTGACTTGTAGCTTAGTTGGTAAAGCAATGAGAGCGGAATCCCGTGGTTGCAGGTTCGAGTCTTATCGTGTCGAATAATTTTTTCTTTGTGTTCGATCTTTGTATTTCATACATTCGAGGTCTCTGCTGCATGAAGTTGATTACGACTTCACGTATTACCTGCAATCATGCAGTCAATCTGTTAGCAACCGAGATATTGATACATGTAGTAACTGAATGAAAGCCGCGTTGTCGGAAACGTTTATTTTCCCTTGCAAATTGACGACTAACTAGTTAGTCAGTCAATAAAGAAATTTTAGTTTTTAACCGATTTCAATAAAGGAGGTTCTCAATTTGACTTTTTTTGTAATGCGGTAATTCCGGGTGAACCGATTTTGATGATTCTTTTTTTTTTTTTTTGTTGGAAAGAAGGTACCTCAGTATTGGTTCCATTTAATTTTGAAGGAAAATATTCCACCTCTAGTGGTGGCAAACTAGGGGATGAATCCGGTTTCGCGCTCTTTCTGGTAACCGATTTCAATAAAACTTAGTAAATAGTTGTAATTCCACGAACTTTTGAGGTTGCTTTTTTTATAAAAAAGTTACAATTATATTGAAAATATTCTGATAAAGCGGTGGTAGGCCAGTGGTAAAGTTAACCTTAGCAATGGCAATTTTTTTGTTGTCTCTTATGGCATGTTCCTATGGCTCTAATTTTTATGCTACCTACCTTTATTGTTTTTTTTTTTTACTATATAATGTGGTACACATAGCGGACTTAATGCCATGTATTCTCTACTTGTCAAACATTGGGCCAAACAGAAAAAAAAACTGCGAATGTGTTTTTTTGATTTCTCTCATTAATGGTAACAGATCTTGAAATCTGCATTGCGAAGTAAGTTCGCAACCTTTGGAAAACGTGTAAAGTCTATATACTATAAAATACATCCCTCCTTTTATGCGAGACCCGTGGCCAGCGGTAGGACTTATATTTGGTGCTAAATTGCGTAACAACCAGTAACTGCGAACCAAAATTTTTACGCCGGAAAAAATGTGTTCTGTACGTGTCATGTTAAAAATAAATACCATATTTGTGTAACCTTATGTAAATTCTACGGAATTAAAAAGTTGCTATTTCTTTGAATACAAAAAATTTGGATAGGATATAATAAACTTTAAAGTTTTAATAATAGAACTTTAAAATTTCAAAATAAACCTAATTAGACGCCTAGTCATAACCTAATTACCGTAAACTGACTTTTTATGCAGAGTTTTTCGAAAATTATTCAGAACCATGTAAAAAGTAGGTAGTTGCGTAAATATCACATAATTAACTTGAGGGCGTTTGTTTATTACGTCGGATTCGTATCAGGGGGTCTACTCTCGACCTCCATCCGAAACAATTACTGTCAAATAAGTAAATTCGACAAAATTAAAAGACAAGTATCAAGTGTGAAGCTTCATTCGCGTCACGTTTTCTGAATAAGAGGCAGAGCGCAAACGCGCTAAGTGAAATACATTAAAAAATTAGAAATACTCCCGACTCCCTATTGTTGCTGCTAATTTCCAAGAGTGCGGTATAATACTCAATTATAATTTTAATTAATTTTATTTTCCTTTGGGATACAATCATTATGAAACTGCAAACGCCTTAATGCATTACCCCCGGCCAGTGACACCTCTAGCATATAGTACGAACATATCTATGAACAGCAGTGTGGTAACGCGACTTAGGCGATGGCCATGTACTCACAGGTGGCAGCGCACATGACGGCGGCCGTGGCGGCGGCGCGGCAGCAGGCGGCAGCGGCGATGCGGCGGCCCATGCTACCGCCAGTCGTGGGCGTGCTGCCGCCGATGCCGCAGCCGCAGCTGCGCGTTGGCATGCCCATGTCGATGCCGCCGGTCATGGGCATGCTGCCCGTCATGCCGCAGTTCAACCTAATGCGCCCGCTGCAGCCCGGTCAGTACCCGCCCCACCACCAGTATCTCTACCGCTAGGCCCCCGCCTCCGACCGACTCTACCGCCGTTTACAGATTGCTTTTCGTACCCGTTCTGGCTGATTATCTCACCTTGGCTAACTAACACTACTTTCACGTTCTGTTCATTAATGGGAACCATTGGGCCACCGCAATTCGTTGGCGTTGAATTTTATCACAAACTAAATAAATTTAAATCAATCCGTCATTCACATTTTCGATATTGGAGCTCCTTAACCTAATTCCACTCAATCATATCGCTATTCTATTCGGCATATCGTCCCGTTTAATTCGAATGGACGTGACTTACAAATATAACGAAATATAGTAATTACACAACTCGATTCATGTGATGTAATTAATTCAATTTCGTCAGAATTGCGTCCATTGGTAAGGGACTATATGGCGCCACGTCATATTCAAAATTCATAATATGTAATCTGCTGTTTTGTGACGTGTTTATTCACATAGCACATTTTGTTTTTAACCAGAAACGCAACCTGTAAACGATAGTAGACAAGTTTGAGTGCAGGCGGCATTGTGGAATGTGATATTTATCAGATACGAGATGTGATATCACATTTCACAATTGATTTTAACCGTTAGGTCTTATCCTGTCTACATTTCGATATGGACAGCATATCAAAGCAAAATTACTATCATATCAGTAGGAATGTTTAAACTTATCACTTCTATTGTTGCACACATATGGGTAAAAACCTTATAACTCCTATTCTATTCTAATGTTTGTATTTTTGATGTTAAAATGGTCCAAATTTATTGATGAATTGTTGACACGTTTATGCATAATGTACCAACCAAAGATATTATTATTTACAAAAACAGATATTGATACCAGAGATTCAGACATTGCTCTAAATATCCGGCTTTATCCAGAAAAGCTGGAGACTGTAATTGATATTTTTAGAATGTGTATGTTGGCGTAATTTTAAAATCTATCACTTAAATGTCGTGTACAAAATACAGTTGGAAATCGCCATTGATATTGCATTTATTGTTCTAGGAATATAGTATAGATTATAGTGGGTAATTGTATTGTTTAAACCAGTGGTATTCAAATGCAGTATTGTTTTGTAAGTCTTAAGATTACGTACTAGGTAAATTATAGGGTTTTATCTTTGTAAATTATATTCCAGTACACGTGGTGCCCAAGTGGAAAATGAAGTGACCATTGTTGATTACATTTTACTGTTTGCAATAAATGCTTTCGAATAGTACAACTTTCTGTTTTCCACTGAAACATCTCAGCGTCAGTGTAACTCTAGCTCCAAATGGATGCAGTTTGCATTGTCATTTTGTATACTGAATCTGATTGGATTGTGTTTTAAGAGCGCGGCCGAGCTCTGCACTTAGTTGGGTAATGTCGATGCAGCGCCCAGCCGTGCTTGGCTGCCGCGGCAGCGCCGGCGGCGCGTTCTTAGTCCGCGGTTCGCTGGACCGAGTATTGTCAGTAACACGGCCTCACTCGATACCAACCGCACAGTAACAGCTTGTCCTATCAATACTCACACCCCCCACTAACCGCGGCGGCCCGCCCGCCCCGCCCGCGCCTAGGCAAACACTGTCAAGAGTTAAACTGTGATTTTGATGTGCCATCCGCACGATCGGAGGATCGGAATGAAAAATAAGCGGTAATTTTATTCACATTCCTTAATGGATTTGCTTATTGTAGTAGCTCTATCTTATTACTGTCTCGATTTTCTCGTAGTGTCATATAAAATGTGACTTTTTGTCGGTTTAAGGGTGGGTACACTAATATTATATTTACGTACAGTAGTTTTGTCGCTTACAATGTGCATGAAGAAGAGTTAATAGTCGTTGGCTGGATTCTACGAGCAACCGTCTCGGATCACACTGAACATGCATGACAGCGGATACGATTATTATATATCGCCGAGTATTTTGGAAGTGTGATTTTTCATGTGAATTATTTATCCTACCTACCTGTGTTCCTTCGCTTATACTGCACCTTAAACGAGTCGCCACACAGTGCCTAATGTGCCCGGCGAGCGGGCGCCCCGCGCTGTCTCCGGGGGGCGCGGGGGCGCGGGCGGCGACAGGCGATTGTTGAGCAGTCACAACGGCCTGCCGTGTGTTGGACCGCGGGTCCCCTGTCGCGCGCCGCCGCCGCCCGGGCCGACTCTGACGCGCGCTTCTGTGCAGGGATGCTGCTGCCGGGCGGCGTGATGCCGGGCGGCATGATGAGCGCCATGTTCCCGGGCGGGATGCCCGGCATGCACGTCATGCAGCCGCGCTACCGATAGCCAGCCGCGCCCACCACGGTACGAGCGCCACCGCCGAGACGAAGCCCGCGGCAAGCCCTACCTTCGTGATTTGTAATGCTCTCGCTTGTGTTGACAGAGGCCGGCTCGGTCGACTGACGTCCTCCGCCGGCCAAGAGCGAAGGTAGGCGCTCGATTATTGTTAATACCTATTATACATATACGTCGCTTGAACGGTTGTGTGTCCGCTCTTTGCTAAATATGCGGTGACGGGATACTAACGCGACGCAAGGTAAGGCCCTCGACGTGACGTGGCGAGTTGCAATAATTACGATAATTGGACTAGCATAGGCGTAGCGCGTAGGGACAAACGGCAGACGGCGGCCGCGGAGACAGTTAAGTGCACGGGCGGCGGGACAGGTGACGCAGTCGCCCGATAGGGTTGGGCCGGCAGTTCCCTGCGTCCGCAGGCGACCCCACACGTCACAACGTCTGTTGTTGGATTGGCGGCCCCCTGTCCCTTAGCGATAAGTTAACGATACCTACCTACCTTTACCGAGTTCTCACTAAATCACATAGAGTCCGCAGATCAGTAGTAACTCCGTTCTTTTAAACTTTCTGATGATAGGAGATGTGTGTAAGAATTACTATGAATTGTTAATGTTATTTGCCTGGAAATTTTTCTTAAGCATTTCCATATGAAGTTGTGACGTTTGCCTACTCTTGTAGATTTTGACTATTTTATTCAATAAATGCTCTGGACTGTGAAAGCCGTTTTTCATTTAGTACATTTATAATACTTTTTAAAATTATCGTAATCTGTAACATTGGCTATAAACGTGAGAAAAAAAAACATTTTTTTATTAATAAAGCAGTATATTGAATTACAATAATAAAAGGTTTCGTCTGTACACGTAACACGTTTATAATACACGAAAACTATCACTATTTTGGTACACATCAAACCCCTATTAGCAGGCTATTCACTGGTGAACATTCTGTCCGACAGATGACGAGAACAAAAAATGTTCTCGTCTATTTTTAAACAAATAAAAAACATTCGTTACACTTCAATTGTGTCGGCCAGCGTGTGGACCAGCGAATGCGCATCATTAAGTGTACAAATTACATGGAATAATACAGGAGACGCTATAAAAATTGAACAGTCAACTAGTATCACCATCAAAGATAGCCGTTTACCGAATAAACCTTTTGGTAAATAACAGACAAATAAGTAAACAAACGATCCTATTAAAAATACTTACATAGTAAATTGCATATTTTAATTCTTACTTTAACAAGTTATGGCAACTGCAGTAAATTCATAATGCAAAACAAATTTTAAATTGTTAATACATATTTATATAGTTTCAAATAAAGGTACCCATTTACTAACCAACATGCTGGCCGACAAAAGTTTGATGGAATAAATTTGGATTTTAATGAAAAATCGAAAGACTATTACATTTTAGAATACGCTTTTGTTTAAAGCTATTTCAATCAACATGCTATCAAATAATTAGGCCCTTTAGGTTGATGGAAGTGGCTTGATCAACTTTTGTGTACGATTCTAAATTGTGTCGTAAATTTTAGAGTATCCTCATATACTCTTAAATGCAGACAAAATGGCAATAATTTTAGATCTGTTTTAAGTAATATACGCAACCCGCAATAAAGTACTACAAAACAGGTTTTACTACAGCCTTTCGTCTATTTGCGACTAACACAAAATAAAGCTAAGATGCAGCTTAAAATACACGCTACTTGGTCTGAAGATAAAAAGTCGTTACAAATGTTATACTTCATGGCTAGCTTTACAATTCTGTTACAAAACTACAAAATTGAGCTTTCCAAGATCACCATAACATAGAATGAACATGTTAGTTAATTGATGCCTACAGTTACTAATAAAAATATGCATTAATAACGTTACCTTTTCACTAGATATCTAACTAATGTGAGCTATTCAAAGCCCAGCCTGCAGAATGCCTTACGGCAATATCAGCTCTGCAATGCTGTACTGCAGGCAAAACTGAATGGCCACCTTAAACAAACGTCCTTTCACGATATGTATGTAGATGTTTCGATCAACGCAAGTGGCTACGGAAAATAATCACAACCTGTCACTATTCGTAAAGACACCCTTGGCACGTTTTAGTTGGTGTTATTTCAATAAACTGGGACTAGTATATTAATGTTAATTAAATATTCAATACTGATTACAAACCATTCACACGCACATTACCCTAATCTAAAGAACCTCGGAGCACATTGCACTATAAAACCGTACGCCCAACTGCACGTAAGAAGGCTTGAAGAATTGCACCAAGTGCTCAATCTAGTGTGCAATTTTTTCTCTAACGACCAATCAAAGCGGCTATTCAATCACCGACACCAAGTATACATATTATTTTGTAAGTATTAAATACATACGCTGCCGAAGTTATGATATCTTAAACTACTCACTCGTAAGGAACCGAACCTAGAGGTTACATGATACAAGTTTAGACTACTTCGATTACTTTGGAGTGATATTCCTTAATCTGTACTTTATAATGATTACACGTCTGTCTAGTACCCAATCTCAGTCAAACCTACATACCTAATTATGCTAAACGATCTGGAGAAGACGACGTAGTCCTAAAGACCTCTAGGGAAGGCGAAAGCGACCTTATCAAGTCGGGACATGGCGTACTGGTTCGCGTCATGCTCTCGAACCTTTCTCTCATTGCAGCCACGTGACCCGCTATCACACATTCCTTTCTGTCGTCCTTCGCTTCCTTGTTTTCGTCTTCAGTATGCGTTTTTTCCGGCAGCTCCGTGTCCGAAAGCAAAGACACTTCGGAGGAGGCTGTATAGTACATTTCGCTGACAGGTTCGCACTGGGCCATCGCTGGCTCCGTGTCCGACGTAACCGTTTCGACGTCCTCAACTTGCCCGGGGAGCGAGACTTGCGACGTGGAATCGCTCCATCGTTCCATATTATTCGTTTCCACCTTCTGCGGGGTGGTTTCCCCGGGGCTGACTAGCTCTATGTTTCTGTACTCTACGCAAACGACCTCCAGCACCGGGTCGATCGGGTCCGCGGAAGACTCGCAAAGTGGCGCCGCTGCACCGGAAGCGTTCAGCGACTGGTCCGTGTTGTCCTGAGAACAGCAGCTCCCGGTGTCCTGGGAGAAGCTCGCGAAACTCGTCGAGTAGCTGAGCGCGTCCGGGGCGAAGGCGACGCCCTCGCCGACGTCCGGACCTTCGAGGTCGGCGTCCGCGGGGTCGTCGCACGCCTCGTCGTAGGCGGAGGTCTTCATGGTCTCGCAGAGCTTGTTGATGGCGTCGACGACGTCGCGCAGGTCGCTGACGCTCTCCTCCGGCATGGTGACCTCGTCGATGGGCAGCACGGCCAAGTCGGCCAGGCCGGGCGCGGCGGGCCTGGCGCGCGCGATGGCGCCGGCCGGGCACAGCAGCGCGTGCGCCACCGAAAGCAGCGCATGCGCGGGGTGCCCGTCGGGCGCCAGGTGCGCCGTCGTGGCGGGGCGCGTGCCGGGCGCGGGCGGCGGGGGGGCGGGGGCCAGGGCCCCCCGCGCTCGCTAGCAGGCGCTCGACGTGCCCGACCAGCCGTCCAGCGGGACCTTCAGCGGCGGCGGCGGCGCCTGCGCCTTCGTCACTACGCAGAACGACGTCCGTTAATATTAAACAGTAGGTGAAGTTAGTTTCGTAGCCTGAGACAAAAATGAGTCTCGTTGGACTGAGTCCCCTTTTCTTAGCGTGAACGAAAAAGGAAATAATTGTATTTACATCATGTTATTGCTCCTGACTGGCTAGCCAAAATTGTTTTTGCTACACATTGAACTCCTTATTAACCATATTTACATAGATTAATTTAGTCTCACTTAGCACTTTTGTCTACGATAAAAGTCATGTCATATAAAATTGTTCTCTTGCATTCAAGTGCCGTTGTGCACGGATGAAGCAGAATGCGTGACGTGCAGTAGTTACCATGGATCCATGCAATGACTCATGCAAATAAAAAGCGCATATCAACGATCTCTACAAACGTACCAAGCTATTACAATTCCCAAATATATCCTGTGGATAAAAATTCACATTTGTCAAAGAGCTATATTCATTAGCCAACACGTCAACCGACGTGATGACATTTAACTTCAAAATTATCAGGTGACATGTCAGCTTTTAAATTTTCTCAAGATATTTGCCAAACAATTGTGAAAGTATATTTGGGAAACAATATTTTACACACGTTATTTAACCACATTAGCCCTTCATAGTTACCAGTTTTCACCCAGCAATTATAAATATAGTAATTATCACCACATGCTCGTTTAAAAAGGTATAACGATGCAGTCTATAATCTTGCCAAATGGGGTTCAAAAATGTGTGCAACCAAATATAACACCTCTGACATCCTAAACCAAATCTAATATAATAAAATACCATGCAAAAGAAATGTGAAAGATAACTTACCCATACATGCTGTTCGTAGAACGCAGTACACTTTGTCTATGAATTAATGAAAGTTAAAGCTGGTAATAAGATAATTGACTTCTACAATTGTAGATAATCTATTTTACTGTAATAGCTTTACGCAGAGCATTTGTTATCTTGAATGCGGGACAGCACACAATACAAGTCAGGCGGACGTCTTTCTCTTTTCATATTGTATTGTCACTTTCACATATCTTTCATTTATCTGCTGTCCAGCACGTAAGATAATTAATGTACTGATTCATAGTGTGAGCTTTACCACAACCAAATTGTGTTATGGTTAATTTTGAAAAACCCAATCAACTCAGATATGCATGGAAATACCTTAATGTTTAATTAAATGCGGCCGATTCTTTTTGTGTAATTGTGAAAAACCAAATTGACAGAAATTTATAACGACAATCAATTATTTAAATTTATACCTAGTTTGGACTATTTGCAATATTGTCAAATTGGTTTTTATTAAGGATCGATACAAAATTAATGTAAATAATAGTCTTATGAATTTTGAAAACCAACACCAATGTAAGTTGACTCAAACTATGAATAACTCATATCAAAATAAGTAAAGGCCCCATTCACTGGCCAATATCAGAATAACTCATTAACTTTATTCAGGGTCGTATTCTAGAACTCTAATCAATGCTCAAGTCAGGATTGCACTGGCAACACAAGCACTGGAAATACGACCCTAATGGCAGGGGCCTTGAGTATGATTTCGAGTGCTTTAAACCATACTCAAATCCTGACTTGAGCATTGAGTAGAGTTCTAGAATACGACCCTCAAACTTAAATAACCTCGTGTAGCAAAAATGAGCGACCTGTAAAAAGCATCTTATTACGAGCTTCTTTAAAAATATCACCTGCTTATAACTTCAACCGATAACATGTGTGTTTGTGAATGGACCCCTATACAATCGACATAAAATGCTTCGCTAAGCACGACATACGTTCACAAGGAAGCTAAACAACACAGGTAACAATGAAATACTTAAAAAGTCTTGAATAGGAGTACTCTTTTATTATCCAAAATAATATAAATATTAAGCATCGTACATCAATGTATCACAATACCTGTTGCTTCTCCATACTAAAAAAGCGTATCAAGTGCCTGTTTGATTAGTAACTGCAACACTGAAGTGAAGTAAGAATTAAAATTGGAACGTGCACAATATCGTTCGTTATATAGCAATTATTTTTTTAAAAGGGCATTGACAATTCTACATGTTGACGAACATATCGACTCATCCGAAGAACAGAGTCTGATGTGATTATATAACGAAAAGAGAATAAGTACGTTATGATAATAATTTCGTTATTCAAATTAAGGCTTATGTAAAGGCGTTTTGAGAATTCATATATTCTTATTTCGTTTCGGAAATATAAAATCGAACAAGGGTCGATCTGACATCCACAGCGAAGAAGAACGAACGAAATGTATTACGTCCTGAGAACAAGCAGTCTTGCATATAGATCTTTGTTCTACGGATGAGTCGATATATTCAAAAATAGTAATAAAGTTACTTTAAATTCAAATAAATGTAGTTACATCGCAAAACTCGGCTGATATTTGAAGGATGGCGAATGTCGTCCTTGTGTTTTACTGAACACAGTTTTGATTTGTTATAGTGTTTGCGTTACTCCCCATACAGCACACTTCAATTTAAAATAGTGTGAAATAAAACAAATAATATGTAAAGCCGTCACTGTTATATATGATAAAATACATAAAGTTTGCAGTAAATGGCACCTCACTATATTAAAATCACAACGAATCATCTACGTAACCAATTTTATGACATAAACCGTTACTCGTGCAGATAATATAGCTATTGTTACATGTACTTGGTGATCAAAATGCAAATTACGCCGCCATTTTGTTTTTCCTCCATCGGCAAGACAAAATGACCTATTTATAATTTGGCCATACTGTGTGAAACAAATTTCCTATAAAAGATTGACAACAATTGGATACATGTAACAAAAGCATACAATAAAAATGATCTAACTAATCTACATGGATATAACATTAATGACTCAACATAAATATCTACGGATACAATTTGTAATTGCTAATTATATTATCTATAATGAGAGTATCAATTATGCTGCAAACCTATTTTGTAACTTAAATTAAATCAAAAGTTATTAGTTTCATTCAGTTTAAAAATTGTAAAGTAAGAAGGGATACCACGAATGAAGTCTTAATATTTTCTATGCTTTAGTACTCGTAAATAATGCGTCAAATTTTTATGGAAACCACTGAGTAATGTGGAAGTAGTTTAAAATATATTCTAAATTAAATGAAGTAGTCTGCAGCAAAATTGACATCTATATCTAATAAATATGACTGCCTTTTGAAAGCCAATAAGTCGGATGATTTTAGAAATGTGACCCCCGTGATGGGATAATTTTATGCATGACAGTTAATTTTTCCTGGTCACATCGATGATGTGCGAGGATTAAACTTAATGGGCAATTTTGGATGAACTCTGAAAAAGTTTGTTAACGAAAGAAATTTGGTATGACTATGGTTCATGAATAACGATGCCACATATGGCTAGATTATTTAAAACATAAATTCACATCCTGGAATGAAACATAAATGCATTTTTTTCCGCAAAATAAATTGTATTTTTTGGGGAATCACGTATTTACCTATTAAAGTGTACTTGAAAACTTAAAATAAGTAAATAACTAAATAATAATAAAAATGTGAGCAATAAAGAATATACTTCTGTAGAATACTTACTATTCATTAAAAAAATCGTTTCTGTAATGCGTTTTAACAAATGTGAATTAATACTTTTTTGGTTTACTACTTGCTTTTCAGTCTTAGTAATTGTTTTTCTGATGCAAATTCAAAATATCTTTATTACTAAAAAATAAAGATATTTTAGTAAACAAATCACAATTGACTACTCATTCAAGCAGATTCCCCTAAGAAGTAAGAAGAACGCTCAAGAACCTACGGGTTGCTCTACCAATAGATATTTGTTCATATTTATCATTTACAATATTTATTATAATAAACTATAGACGCAACCTGGAAGAGCCAAACTGATTACTCGTGTGGATTTTTATCATCCAAGTACACACAAGTTGTATTCACCCTTCCAGCATTTTTCTAGTTTCTTACTAAGAACTCCTTGTTCTCAAAAAATTTCCTTTTTTTAATGTTCTAATTTTATAATTGAGAATGCGCTATGACACCTTAATCTCTTAGAACCAGCGCCATCTAAATTAGCAAACCACCAACAAAACAATGTGATTGTGTTATAACAATTTCAACCTTATGGCGAGTTTTTATAAGATCTAGTAAAACGCACAACAAAGACGTATTTAAAAGCATAATAGAACTTGTCTAAGAGACTTATCATTCCAAAACTAAGACGAGTAATAAGGACACTTAATAAAAGGTACGAAGACATAATTCATGCATGATCATGCAGAGAAACATATATAAACTTTTTAAACGTAATATGTAAACTCTTATACAGGGTGCTACAGAATTGTTAACATCACTTTACTATGACATGATTAGACTCGACTATGTCATAATCGTTATTCAGTCTCTAGCGATGTGCAAACTATTGACTATGACGACAAAATCATCGTTTAACGATATTGGGAACTTTAAAAAAATATGAAGGTGTAACTAGCCTCATCGTTTAGAGTAATAAAATATAGAATTAATTGTTACATAAACAAGCAAGGTTACACTCTGCCATTCTGTAACACCCACAATGTAATTTATATTGACAGCCCGTATAGAGAAATTTGGTTTCTGCATAACATGACTCTTATTCTATACAAAATACGGCCTATACTTATTATGTCAACATTGTTTTACTTGTACCTATTGCACTTATTGTTACCCTATATGTACAGAGTACATGATATCATGTAATATATGATACATAGTTCTCATATGACTAATCAGAGCATTGTTCTGTGCGCTTGCTCTATTTTCTTTGTAAAACTTTTTTTTTTATAATTATTGAACATTTTTATATTCCTATTAAATTGTTGGGCTTCTGTATAAGTAATCTCTCAACGTCAAGTGATAAAACGGATGTTAAATTCACTATTCTTTTAACGTATTCCATGAGTCAGTACAACAACGATAGCGCCCATATATGTGACAACAATGTGACGATT